TTCACGCCATTTCAGCGTTGGGGTCGTTATAATGTGACGGCCAATCTAATCTTTAGTTGGCGAAATAAGACTAACAGAAGAGTTAGCGGTGGGTGGTGTTGACTAGCTGCCTTTCCTCAAATCTTTAAGTGTTAAGTTGGGACGGCTGGCGTATATAGCGCTTGAGTAGCTTTTCGTGAATTTCAACAAAACAAACAAACAAAGTTTTATATGTTGAACAACTACTTTAAAAAATCCTTCATTTTATACATTTTTTCCTTTCTGACAATCTTCGTATTATTGAGTTTAGTTTGCATAAAATATTTGTATAGGATATCAAAGGTTTAATAACTTGTGGGTAAAAGACGACTTAAAAGGAATTAAGCATGAAACCTTTGGAGAACCATACATAAAAAACGAAAAATTTAAGTCGGCTTCTTCGGCCCCTGCTCAGGTCGGACTTATACATTATGGAATACGTACATACAACAAAGTATTTTTAAAAGACTTAATTTTTCAATCATGCCTGCTTCGTAACAGTAAGATTTAGGGTAAGGTTAAGTTATAATTTATTTGGATACTTAGCTTAGGGTTAGAGTACCCTCACACAAAAAATGGGGTGTAGTTTGATTACGGATTACTTGGGAAAATATATGTAGTAGTATTAGTGCCAAAAAAACACGACAACAACAGAACTTGTTGGGGTTAAAGTATTTTTTGGGTATATTGTTTTGTGTCTTTTAGTGCACAAACGCCAAAAAATATTTACTGTCGTTATTGCTTAAACTTATTGTCAACTATAAGTATAACACTTTCATCGGTTTTTTTTCCCAAAGATTTGACCATATGTAAATTTTTAATATTGAAAAACTGAACTGCATGAAACTATGTTCAATTGTAATTATAATATTTGTATAATTTTCTCAATAATTTGAAAATATACAAATTTGTAGTGTTAAAATTTGTACTGTTTGAAACTATTGTCAATGCATATTGATTAAATTATATACTGACGATTTGTTTTGTTTGTTTTTAATTATGCACAAAGCTACACAAAGGCTATCTGTGCTCTGCCCACCACGGGTATCGAAACCCGGTTTCTAGCGTTGTAAGTCCGCAGACATACCGCTGTGCCACTGGGAGGCTATACTGACGAATAAATAAGAAAAATGCACGATATTATGTTTAATTATTCAATGCCGAGTCTGCAATTTAGGAAGATATGTTTGATGAGTTCCAGTATTTTTTCCGGTATTTTTTTCTTACAAATATATATATTCTGAATACATATTTGAGCTCTATGTGCAATCTGAATTGCTCACCATCTTGGCAGAATTTGTAACATTCTCCGGGGTAAGAAAGAGTAAAGCCCATACCCTCGTCTAAAATCTCACACAAAACACGGTAATGACAGCAGATGTTGCGCAATATAACATCTGGTTCCTCAGCTCTATAAAACCATTTTATCCGCGGTTTTTATTTGTTCTGTAGATTGAAATGGCTGACTTGCCACTGTGAGATGGATAAGTGCAATACTTGTCTGAACATGAAGACTTTTATTATTTCGTGCAAGAAGAACACAGTTTGGCCAACCCCCGAAATACCCCATCTTCGTAATCAAACACTATTGAAGGTTGAGTTATTTTGGCAGTAATCTGTTTTGTTTTTAAAATTAACAGATCGAGTCTTTTATCGAAGGCTCAGCACAGCCAGGTGGTTAAAGCACTTGACTCTCAATCTGAGAGTCCCAGTAAACATGCTTGTCATTTCAGCCGTGTGGGCGTTATAATGTGACGATCAATCCCACTATTCATTGGTAAAAAGGTAGCCCAACAGTTGGCGGTGGGTGGTGCTGACTAGCTGCCTAAATCATGGCCAGCTAGCACAGATAACCTTCGTGTAGCTATGCGCGAAATTCAAAAACAAACAAACCTTTATCCGGATTCGGTCACATCGACTTTCAGACCGGGGTGGGGGCTTATTCGTGTCTTCTTTTTTAAAAATATGTGTTTATAAAGCTGTCTCCCAAACATTAGTTTACTGACTTAACTGTAAGTAACATCACAATTATGGTCAGATAATTAAAATAATCGTTACCAGCAAATATTAAATATCCTAAAATAACTTAGGATGAATGAAAAATAAAGATAAGAATATTAAATCCGTAAAAGTTAGGCCTAATAAAATCATGACTATTACATATTTGAATAATGTGGTGAGCCAACTTAACTGAGTTACCGCGGCTGCCAGTAGTGTAGTATGTAATTATGTATGTTAAGAAAAATTGATTCAATACGAGGTTCGCGGGTTCGAATCCGGCACTAAAGATCCTTGCCCTTTCAGCCGTGGGGGCATTATTATGTGTTGGTTAATACCAATATCCGTAGGTAAAGAGTAGCACAAAAGTTGCCTTTCACTTTTAAATGAGGAAGGACTACGCAGAATTCAAACAAACAAACAACATGACTGCTTGCACATGAGAGAGTTTGAATGCTGTATGTATAAGTTAACTTAAACATATAGTACTTTTTCAGAGCTATGTAGGCTAATTTCTTAAAATCAAATATAAAACACTTGGTAATTGTTTAAACTATTCTATAATCATGTGGATAACCATTGAAAATACCATATTACGTTGGTTATTGGACACGTAGATAATACTATTTAATTAACTGTGAGATATACACTTCATTCAAATAATTGAATTACAAAGCATATTATCGTTAATTAAAAACGAATAACATACGATTTGATCATGTGTTGAAACAAAATAAAATCAATTATACCCAAGAGGTTTAACCGAACATACAAATTTATAGTATAAATTACACTTCATTAATATTATAATTAAAATATATAATTGTCCAATACAATCAATAATATGAAATAAAGCTCTGGTGGATCTATTATAAATTATCGTCCCTCTAGTGGCACCCTAAGGAACTATTTGCTCTTTGATCTCCACTTATTACAATCTCTACTGAGAAGGCTCGTTTGGGCGTAAGTACCCTCACTCCCATTTAATATTGTAATTTTTGTGTAAGAATTAAAACATTGTATAAACGTGCCAGTAAAGAAACATAAATATGTAAATTTTCTGTAAAAAAATAAAATTTTATTCGTCATAAACACAACACTAAAGAAAATATAACAGGGTCATAATAAATCTCACGCGCCATTAAACTGATGATGCTTTTAAATAGAATTAGAGATTTGGGTAAAATGTAATTTTAAGGTCATTAAAAGGAAGACGATTCTGACTGAGATCTTTTAAAAATATTAGCCTTGGAGCCTCGCATCTTTGTTAAGTGTATTAAAGTGACTGTTCAACAATTAGAATATATGGATCATCAGTATTATAATATATTCTGTTTTGGGCATGCGTACATTAAAATTTTTATTTCGTATTTATCTTTTGGAGGGACTATTCGTGAAATGATTAAGTGATTAAAACCAACTTGTGTCTAAAAAAACATCTGATCAGTCTGATAGCAAAATAAATGAAACTTAAAATATTCTTCAAAAGTGAAATTGCGTTATGTCTCTGGACTTACAACGCTAGAAACCGCGTTTCGATACCCGTGGTGGGCAGATCTCAGTTACCCCTTTGTGTGGCTTTGTGCTTAACTATAAACAAACAAACGTATCTTCTTTTCCCTAAGATATTTTCATATACATATGTCTTCTTAACATCATTGGCCAGGTGGATAAGGCTCTCGACTCGCAATCTGAGGGTCGCGGGTTCGAATCCCCGTCCCACCAAATATGCTTGCCCTTTCAGCCGTCTGCGGACTTACAACGCTAGAAACCGGGTTTCGATACCCGTGGTGGCCAGAGCACGAATAGCCCATTGTGTAGCTTTGTGCTACAACTACATATATAGAAATTATATAAAAGTGGGGCATGTTCACCTATAAACCAAAGACGATTTTTCATACATCAAAGTAAAGGCTAGATCGTTTATCGTGTGCACGAAATGGCCAGGTGGATAGGGCGCTCGACTCGCAATCTGAGGGTCGCTGGTTCGAGTCCCCGTCCCACCTTAACATGCTCACCCGGATCGTCATCTCCAACAGACTTGTGAGAACACAAAACAAAAATCGTTTATTGTAAGCGTTTATTCAAAATATTTTTTATAAGGAAGTAATTGAATATG